ACATTATGGTAGTATATGTATTGCGGACCGGAACATACTAGGGACGAGTTATTTTAGGTATTAAGGGTTGTAGACTTTACGCTCTCATCCTCGTCGGAAGTCGCCTAGTTGATATCTTATTTGTACATAGCGATTGCTGCTGCTGTAATAATGTATTATGTGGGAGTTCGTGATCTATATCCTATGGATGTGCCAAACCTGATATGGAGAACCCAAATGAAGTACTACATTTAGTTTTTCCTTCGTTGTGTAAATAAGCATAATTGCTGAGATTACGGATTCACAATTGCAGGTTTTAAACTTGTTTTTCATTGTTAAAGGCTGATCGTTACCAAGTTCTATGGTATAGACCAGTAATATCTAAAATAAAAAATTGGCACTGGATATTGATTAAATCTAGAATCTTTGTCATTCCCATCCATCATGAAATTTCATCAATCAAAGATAAGACTCGAAATCGTAATATCCGGACTCTGAATCAAAACGTGCCTTATCGACGACATCCCTAACAAAATTCGGAGGCCGCCTAGGCTTCGGCCATACAGTCACAACACTCGGCACAAAGTTATTCTGGGTCTGCTTGGTAACCCGATCTAAATCAGTTAATGGTCAGAATCGCATTTCCGACTTTATAGTCTCCTTAGAGTATGGCAAGGGTTGGCCGAGCCGAGTCATACCGAGCTAGCAAGCTGCCCAGAGGCTGCCGCCGATCATTGAGCCGCACCGGACATAGAGAATCTGATTTACGTGCTCCCAGAGTCCTCGGCGACCCTAATGCAGAGTCGCACACGCCTCTAAATTTTGTTAGGGATACAGTGATTCAGAGATGAACCTTAACTTAAAACCTGAATAAATATACAATAAAGAAATATCGAATTATAAACTGTATAAAGAGCAACATTTATTGCCGATACATTTTTTTGTACTCTTATCCCAGAGCGTTCCTACAACGTATATATGCCCGGTTTGAGCAACAAATGCGGCGGCACTCGAAACCTGCGCTGGAATAGCAATGTGTGTTGTCTTCTTCTATTGTATTCTGCGTCGTCGGAGACATTAACTAATAACTCAAACTGTGGCTTTTCATTGTAATAAAGCAGATAGCACAGCCTTATTTTGGTTTCAGAAAAAAAATTCCTTCATTTCCTGCGTAGTTTAGTGATCAAAATTGTGAAAACAGAAATGCTTATTTTGAATATATAAATAAATTCGTGCGATGCACTAATAGCTTTCCCTTGGCTGTTATAAGTTATATCTTCTTTTAATGTACACCGAGGTTCTTGCACCTCTTGAAAGTACACCGTCTCGTTATCGTGATGCTGGCAAGTCAACTTTCTTTCACAAGTTCTGGAAATCGCCAGTTTGTAGTTTTTGAGCTCTTTAAAAGAGCCTCAAAGTTTGTCAGAGACCTGAAGTTTTAATTGCATTCTTATGACTCCTCGAGCAGCAAGTTTATCAAGTTTTCCCAGTAAAGTTGCTCAGTTTGTGGAGGTCGCTTATTGCTTACGTTATTTGAAATGAGTAACAGAGCTTTTCGAGGTCATTTTTTTCGCGAGCTTCATGTAAGCTTGTGTTGGGAGGATTTACATCAAAACCTTACGACCACTGCCAGCATTCAAAACGTTAAATTCCACAATAATTATTCTCCCAGGCTGCAGCTAAAGAAACAAAGAAGCTACAGTAAGCAAAATTCCCCTCACTTCTTATGAATTAAAAGGTTCGGGATAAACATTATTTGTTGTGATAAAGTTCCCGCTAGATAAACCATGGCAAATAAAAAAATACGAAAGGTCCGGGAATACAGGTCCGGGAATTTACACGAGGAGAAATTTTCCATAATACGTACGAGATTTTTGAGGAACTCTAAATTTCAAGCTTTGAAGTCTGCTGATTGCTGAAATTCATACTTATTCCTTTTTTGACGAATGTCTCTTCAGGATCCGATACACTTGTTATTAACTCGCCAGCTCATATTTTTTCAAGTTTTAAGGGAGCCTAAACACCCCGTCTTAAGAATTTTAAGTAAACTCCCTTATGGAAGACTCGACGGGATTATATCTGTAAAACATTTTTAATAAATATTTTTACTGTGCAAAATGTTGAATTTGATCTTGAACTGGCCTAAAATTTAACCATCTATGATAAAAAGATTCAACCTTCTTCTCAGCATTCCTGAACATTTTCAAGAGGGGAGTGTCGAAATTCTTGGGCTTCCATATGCCTACTCAACGGTTTTAAGGGTTAGAAAGCTTGAAAGAAATCAAATTAAAATCATTTTCATCCTTGAAAATTCGACAATAAGAATTTGATTGTAGTTCATAAAAAAATTTGGCATCTGAAATGCTATCACGATGACTAGAGCAATTCCAGCTCATACATGCAGCCATTGTTGGGTGGAGGACCTTATATATATGTTCTATTTGAATAATTTTTGTATATTGAATTTCATGACAGCTTTCCGAGTTTAAATTAATTTAAAGCAATCAAAGAATATAGATTCGATTGCTCATGAATGCTAATCCGCTTAATTGAGCAGATACAAATCATTTCTATTTTATTTAAATCAATATTTTTCCAAAATATATCCTATATTTTTCTTGCAATACTGCGTAATAAATTATTTTCTGCTAGTTTTACAGGTGTGGGACTTTTTTTCTTTCTCGAGTTGGAAAAGGCAAACATTGTGGGATTTTCAACACATTAATATTCTATGAATACAAAAAATATGTATGCTGTACAGCGCCCAGAAAACCCTTCCTCAAAAGACAAGAAACTGACAAAGTTAGGAAAAAGGAAGCTGCTCAACTCAGAACTTCTCTTGCTTCTCTCAACGAGGTTCTCAACGAGGTTCTCAACGAGGTTCTCATCGAGGTTCTCAATGAGGTTCTCAAAGAGGTTCTCAACGAGGTTCTCAACGAGGTTCTCAACGAGGTTCTCAACGAGGTTCTCAACTTGGTTCTCAACGAGTTTCTCAACGAAGTTCTCAACGAGGTTTTTAACGAGGTTCTCAACGATTTTCTCAACGAGGTTCCCAACGAGGTTCTCAACGAGGTTCATAGAGCCAGTCAGGCTGGTCATAAATGAAAAAGTCACCCGCATTATGGGCCGAAATTGGCTAGATCCCAAATGAAAATTATGTCATAATACCGATTTTGAGTCTTTGCAATAAATTTTAATCTCTAATTGCAATAAAACTATATAATCAGCCAATCAGTAAATGGTCAGGTACAGACCACCAACATTATTTAATAAGTTGGTCTAACCTAAACTTAGGTTAAACCTGAACGTATGATTTAGTCGCTACAGTGCAAGAAATCGTACGCCATGTTAGCGCAGTACTAATTGACAAAGCTTAGCTCCGCACAGCCAACCACTGCAATCAGGACGATCTAAGTTAAAGCCTTTAACGTTATTGGAATTGATCGTGTTCCTGAGTGATATATTGTTTTACCCATTATATGTATTGTTCTATAAATTTTTCAGTAACAACATCTTATAGGTTATTTCTTCTCACCTTTAATGTGAAATGAAGAACAATTCTCAATCTCTTTACCACCGCATGACTGAACTGCCCGGAAAGAATGTCTGCCGCCAAAGATCCTATTGCAAAAAAATTATTGATAAATATCGTCATAACTACGTGGTAATTAAAGTATCAATAAGGACTAATTTCTAATGATAAAACCTTCGTTTAATTCATCCCGTTCGTTGGCATAAAAATTAAATTCTTCGTCTCTCAGAAGCCCGTTATGAAGATAAGCCTGTGAAAGGAGCGTTTCCTAATGGAGGCAAGAGCTTCTGATCACCAGGAAACAAAGTTCACCGCGGATATCATTTTTGAATTAATGGACTCATTCTTACATTGATGACTCGAGTCTTCTCACTGATGAGGCTCGAGCTCGCAGAAAGAAATTGCTCGGTTGGAACGAAAACTTCTTTTGAAAGATTCGTGTGCATCGGTAAGGCCTCGATCTAGAGGGGCTTCCCTCGAGACTCATAGGAGCATTTGGGCAAATTCGTAGCACTTTCGCCCGATGCGTGACTGCCATCCAGAAACGTGATTCATAGCAAGATCCTCCTATAGCTAGCAATGCACCTTCTAAAAAAATAATTTAAATCCAATTCGCGCAACGACTGCTCAACAAAGCAGGGGAGATGTGTTACTTTAGATCAATGTTAAGCATGTTAGTCGGGTCTGTTTTCAAATAAATTCTACAAGCGTATTGAAAAAAAACTTGCACCAATTTTTCAGACATTTATTGAACGACCTTATACGTCTAACTGAAAACTTAAATCGGATTATTCGACGGTAGATATTGATACATAAGTACAGGGTGCGGCGCGGGAACTTACTTATTTGAATTGCGCGCCACGTGGCGGCCATTAGTCCTAGGAAGGTGGCGCCATGCGCAATATGGTGCGCGGGCTATGAAGTTTTTCGTCCACTCAGTTCAGTTGCGACCATGCAGTGGTCGAGAGAGGAGCGCGCGTTCGCAGTCTCTTAGGTCACCTACAAGATGTAATATTCAAGAATTAAACTTGTAAGTAAACCCAACGAAACTTTAAATGTAGCTCTTTGTAAAAAAGAAAGAATTAAAACGCTATCTTTAATACTTTTTACTTTGTGATTTTTTTAAAAGAGTAAGTTCCCACGCCGCACCCTGTATAAAGTCCAAATATTTATCGAATTTTCTAAATCTATACCCACTCAGGATTGAAAGTCAAATGCGTTTTCAGGACGATTTTTCAAACGGGTTAAACTTAATTGGGGTTCGATACTATAATTCGAATATTTGGTAGTTCATATTATTTTAAGGCTGAACATAACCTTACTATTTATCTTTTTCCCATAGGTATGAAAACTCTCAAAAATAGCCCTGAACATCAGATGTGAATAAATTTTGAATATGAACATGACTTAATTTGTTAGCTTTAATTTTAAGGATTTCCAAAAGAGATCACAACTTCTGTGACGGAGATAGCTTTAATGAAACGAAATGAGAGCCAAAAAACCTTTATTTGACGCTAATGAATAGGCTATATTTTTAATAGCAATGAAGCAGAGCTCTATTTCAAGCAAGGCTACATTCTAGCCGCGTAATTCAATAGCCTTTGAGAATTTAAATAACGTCAGAGAGCGTCCAAGCAGCATGGCTAAACTTGACCTCAATGCATGCAAATTGTTGGGCAAAAACTTTCATTCAGCTTTTATTTTAAGTTATTAAATTTTCAGTGTGGAACAGATATTGAATCCAATCGCTCAATTCATGAAAATAATATTTTTATAATACGAGCATAATAGAAACAAAAATATTTGGTTGAAAACTTTCGTTAACAGGGTTCAAGAAGTTATCTTATTCAGTATACATATTTAATATGATTAAGCGGAGTATAACTAAACTAAGTTCGAAAGCAAAAAACCCTCATTAAAAATATGATAAAACACTTACATTAAGACACCAATGATAATATTGATGGACTCTCCAATTATACTTTAACACCTCTCGGAAAAAATTATAATGCTCAAAATAATTGTTTGTTTACCAATAGATCAAACTTTCATTCTGGCATTATTAGGTAGCCATTAGTTTGTAAAATTATTCACTATAACATAACACATGAAAATTCAAGTCGACATCGCGCATAAAAAATTCTTACGACGTATTCCCGAATCGAGAAATTCAAGTTAAACTATCAGTGCCTAGCATCGTCAGTCTGATGCCTGCATCGACAAATGATGAAATTTAAATTAAATAGTTCAACCGGTGCTCATGTGAACCCTTGTTCCCGGAACTGTGATTCAATGATATGTTGGATACCGGATTTATTTACTATGTAACTGTATTTTGGATACCGGATAATTTTTCTCTGCAATTGTATGTTGGATCCCGGGGATACCTACAGTCCGATTGTATATTGGATACCTGGTATATTTCTTATAGAATTTCATGGTTGAATAATCGGGGACATTTACTATGCATGCAATGGTATGTTGGATACCAGGGATGTTTACTGGACGCGGACATCGGTGAAGTAGCCGGTGTAGATTTCCGAGTATGACTTAACGATGGTGGCACTGTAAAATAATAAATACATACTTTGGTTCGCACAGTTTATATTAAAAAAATGCCGTAATTAAAGATAAACGACCACTGGCTGAAGAACTCCGTGAAATGGCGAAATTACGTTATGGACAATTATTATTGCTAACTATTAAGCTTGATTGAATTAAATGATATTTTCTGAATATTTTTTTACCAGTTTTACATTTATTTTTTTCTGGAAAAAGAAAGGAGCTATTGTTTTGACGTCGCACTATATAATATACAAATTATGAACATTATTAAAATGAATTACTCACACAATCCTGTACATGCCGGGCTGCTTAGGAGCGCTCCATTGAAGCTTCACGGAGTTGACGCCGTTGCCGGAGAACACGTGGGTTGCGGTGTCCTGTTATTGTATAATATATATTTTACATTACATTTAAACATACATTTTGAGCTCCCCAAGAACTTAAAAGTTGAGAAAACGCTAAGTAAATTTGCCATATCTTTTTAAGTGAAGATATAGTGAATTTACATGAAGTTTTCATTGCGTTTATCTTTTTAAACTAGTGATGTAAGCAGGAGGGGAAAAAATAAGTTATTGCCCATTATAACAATGGTAAAAAGTGCAATTATATTTTTATTATTTGTTATAATTGTTACGATTTGACTGACTATGGGAAGAGCAACTGAATTATCGAAAACGCGACTACCAAATAATTCACGAGATAAACGCAGTTTTTGCTCAGCAAGTTGATTCACCAATAAAGGGCAAACTATCGGTAGCCGCATATATTATCCAAAATAATAATAAATATTTAATAATACTAATCAAAATTAGACGTATTTTATGAATACGATTGTAATATATAGAAGAAAGGACAGAGCCATCGAAAGATAACCACATACATAACATAATATAACATATTGATCTCGGCGCTGAAGTGTAGGCCTGATGTGGCCTGTCGCCGATTCTTTTCCTTTTCGTGCCTTGATCACAGAAGATCTAATATCGTACATACATGTAATACAACAAACAAACTAAATTGAGCTGTAAAAAACTTATTTTAGTTGAACCTATGTAAGAATACAATGAATATAATAATAACATTAAGAGAATAGCAATACAACTAACGTCGGGAGCGTTGCAGTCGAGAGTTTGGTAGCCGGTGCCTGGCAGGAAGCTTGCGCCACCGTTGTTACCCTGGGCGTCCATTGCGCGCACGATGAAGCCCTTGAAGGGCGCTCCGGAGATGCTCACTGAAGGAAACATTCACTTCAGTTCAAGATGAGATATTGCGAAATTTCCGTGATTATTATTATTATAATGTGAAAGAGAAATTGCAAAATTTCCGTGATTATTATTATTATTATAATTTTAAAGAGAAATTGAGAAATTTCCGTGACTATAATTATTATAGTTTTAAAAATCAGGTTGCATAATGGAAGTTTCGTAACACACAGTGGTGCTTGCTGAGGGAAAAATCTTCATTAGTGTTCATCAGTTCAAAAAGAGTAATTGAAAATTTTCGTGTCGCTTATTATATTATTTCAAATCAAATCATGCAATGAAATTTTATTGATTTATTGTTATATATTGTTCTTCCGCAATTTGTGGAATTATAACAATCCATAAATGTATACCGTACGTAGTAGGTTAACATAGCGCTGCTTCTATGGTAAACAGACACTGAGCGAAAAGAATAAGGCGATAGAAAGCATGCCAAATATCAAGGCTGTGAACAAATGCCCCCAAAAATTCTACCAAATTAAAAAATTATGTTAAGAAAATTATTATAATTACCTGCGCCTATATATCTATAAGTTTGTTTTCTATGATCATATCGAGTGTTGAAATGGATGACGATTTAAATTAATAAAATTATTTAATCTAATTCACCTGTAGTCGCGGCTCCAGGAGCGACTCTAGCGGGCGCATCAAGGGTGTAGGGAGGCTGGCCACCGCTGGTGATGGTCGTGCCAGGGCCGTGGTCAGGCGTGAGGGAGTTGCATGCGGACGACGGGGCGCCGGCGCTGTGAGCGTTGCTGTAGCCCAACAGCAAAACCAACACCGAGAACCTGAGGGACGATTTGGAGAATGAGATATGATTTGAAGAAAATATACCATACAATAAAAAAATATAACTCAGTACTCACTGCAGTGAGTGACAGAGAGCGCATTCTCTCGTCGACGAAAACGTGGATAAATAATAATAAAGATAATAATAAAGATAATATCTTATGTTGGGTATACAAGGTTATTCGTTTAATAACTCTTGTAGTATTAAAACCTCGTTAATCATCGCTCAGAATTTGGAGCTATGATCAGTGGATTCGTTCCCCACGAGGCTGCAAAAATTTGGCAATAACAAAGCTTGTGATTAGAGCGTGAACGTGAAGGAGTTCAAAACAAACCCCAAGATTCAGGATATTGATATTTAGTCATATTATATATGTATTTTTAGTTAGTAGCCATATAGTAAGATTCTGTAAAACTTCGATACCAGCCACTTAAATACACTTATCAACCCTCTGAGCAAATTGAATCGAAAATTTTAAATCATTTAATTTATACCGGATACACAAAGGCAGATATTTTATACCCGTTTTGTGAAAATTCCATGTCAAGTTCCAGAATCACACTCCGGCAATCGGGTTTCGGTGCAATCGACCGCCAGGTAAACAGATTACGGTTTCAGCGAAGCGGCCGCGTAGGTTTAGTGGCAGCTTCTCAAGAGGAAACTAGATCTGCTTAAGCCTTGCCACTCAAAGACCGGTCATTGGTGGTCAATAATACTAATACTAATTATTTATGTTAAGTTTATTTATTTACACTTTGATTCTGAATGATGTTGATTATCAAATGAAACCAGTATTGTGTAACCAAGCAAATAAGAATGACTCATTAAGCATTTAAGCATTTTTCATCGAATTAATTTTTAAATTAAATATGTCACCTGATGATTTAAGAATTCTTCAGCTGATACTTCTGATGAACCCGGTCTAAAATCACAGTATCGATTTTGGCTAGTAAAACTTGGACTTGGTTTTGTGCATTTGATAAAATAAATCAAGACAGCGCATTCAAAAATTATTTCTGTTCAGTTTTTTTTCAGAGCGATTTTTTTTACTTGGAGTGCCATTGGAAATAAAGAGAATGGATGCATTTTAACTAATAAATCATTCAAATTATTGTTTCTTTAAAGCAAGAAGGTAGGTTAATGATTCATCAAACGATTGCTCGAAACTAAAGCATAATGATGTGCCAAAACGCACTCGGCGTGTTTCATTTGCAGTGATTTCATTGAACTTCTCGCTCTGTTTATGGACATTAGGCAGGCATAACTTTAGACGCTAATATTGGACGTGCGCTAATATTAACGATCGACTCAATGTGAGTTCCTAAGCTATTTTCATCTTTTTAAGAGCATGCATATGCCTTTAGAAGACGACAGTGCATAAAAAATGATAAGTCATGAGCGTGTGCTGCCAATAGTGACTGCGCATTACAACTCGTGGTTATGTAACAGGATTTAAGAACAAGAATACGCGAAATTTAAGGCTAAAATGCCGCAAAATCGCATATTTGACGAAGATTTGAAGTAAATATCAATGAACAAATTACACTGACTTCTATATTTCAACACTTGCACTTAATTTAACAAATAGATGTAGATACTTGAAGACAAAGAGATTAGGTGCAGCCGCCTGGAGCCTCAGGACTGGTCCGGTAAGTTGCAGATCTTGAAGGTCAAACGATCGACTTCTCTGAACCGCCGCAGGTCTTGACTCGATCTAGTCCCGCGTGCTTGGGTCCTCGCTCGTTTTTACCCTAGTTGATACACGCTTGAAAAACCCGGCGCGAATAATATATAGGCTTAATATTTATCTTGCTAGGAGACTGGTAATCAAAACGCGTTAAAATATGGAAGAAATTAGCTGAGTGAAAAAATTGAACGCTCTAAACAAGGAGGATGGTTACTGCGACACGACTCTTTCCTATAACAGACATATGAAATAACGTGCATATTTCTTATTATAAGTTAGAATTGTATTGATTTATGGGCCTTATTTTTATTTTTTTGACACATGAATAAAGTATAAAATTTTACGATTGTTTGCGAAATTAGTGATGCAGGCGAAATTTAAATCTGATGCTTCATTAAATTCTCCTATAATACTTAATTCAGTAATTATTTGAATTAAATTCTTAAGGAATATTGTGCTCGGCTAAAATATGCTAAAAGTTCGTACTGTATGATTGTACCTATAAAAGTGTGATTTTACAAGTTACAGTGTCAGCCTAGAGACGAGCTCGTGTCGTCAGTTTTTATGATCTGAGAGGCGGTCAGCGCAGGCAGCGTCCGTGGTGCTTGGAAAGGTTGCACATGCAATTATTGTACTGCTCACGCGAAGGTTGCATGACCTTTAGCATGCAAAATTTTTTCATAATATTGATTGCAACGAGGAAGACAGATATGACAGAATACGATAAAATAATTGGCTATTTCACACAGTGTATTAATGCTCAGCAGATCACTTTGCCTTAATGTTAACGTGTATAGAAAATATAGTTTTTTCACAGTTATAGACGCAATAATGTCTAAAATGTCGCACATTTTTTGTCTGCTGCTTAGAGTGTGTCGCAAACTAATCTCGTGATGGCTCCTCTGAGACGTTCTTGCTCCTCCATTGAAGCGTGTTGTGATCTACTAGCTAAATATCACTTCACTAGGACTATTTGATTATAGTGAGGAGCACCGGTAAGTAATTAATTTATTATAATCCAATTACTGACCTTATTGAACACTTGACGGACGTTTTGGATACCGAAACAGGTTCATTTGCAGTTGAAACTTTCTATTTATGATGTTCTGAATTTGATAAAGGGTTTTTACGACACAAGATATTACATATCTGGGAAGTTGTTGAACGAACTTATTATTACGTAACAGAATTTGGGCTAAGCTATTTTGTAAGCTAATTTGGGCAAAGCCTAAGCTTTGCGTGGAAGATTCGCTACTCCTGGCATGAGGTTATTCTAGGTATGCATGACCAACTGATCGAAATCAGTTGTGGTCAGAATCTATACTGCTTGAGTTTGTAGTCGTCTGAGAGTATGACAAGAGTTGGCCGAGTTTCGTCACGAAGATCTTGCAAGCTGCCCAGAGGCTGCCCGTCAAACCCAGAGCCGAAACGGACAAAGAGCGTCTATCTGATTTACGTGCTACCCGAGTCGTAGGCGGCACCTATTTCAGAGTCAGAGCCACACCTAAATTTTGTTTGGGTAGCTCTTGAATTGCTTAGCGCTTAATTTATTGCATCAATTATACAACTCAATATCAATTTCTCTAAATTCAATATAGAGAGATATTTTATAACGCTTCAGAATGCAGTATTACTGTAGTGTAATTGAGAAATGTAAAATACCCAACTAAACTAAAAGATATCGATTTAACATGAACAAAAAATAATATTTGGTAACACATCAAAATGTTAAACATTCTGTTAGACAAGACAAAAATTCACTGAAATTTCATAAAAAATGTAGTAAACACATGAAGAAAGAAAAAACTCGCCTGTGTAATCTTCTGAAGACATGCACCCGGTGCACGGATCAATGGAACGTGTCTTCAAGCGTACAGATCACGAGGGACCAAAATTTTGAAGAAGTTAGCTGTACTTGACAACGCGAGCGCACATCAAAATTGGATCGCCTAAGCAATATGGGCTTTATAAGACATTCGCGAACGCTGAAAAGCGATGTTCGTTTGGCAATTTATTTTCCTATAAACTACGAATTTAAATTCTTCTTATGTTACTGAACTGTAAATTTAACTTTGAATCATTTACGATATGAATCTATCTTCATCCGGATGTTTTTTCGCCTTAGAATTCAGCATTGTAAAAAAACTACAACTTTAATGTCCAGAGAAAATGCTCGACAAAGTGGTCTACCACAATGATTGGTTGAGACTTACGATACTAAACGGTAAATATAATTTTTATCGTGATTAACTTAAAAAATTTAATCGGTCGTTCAAATAACTTGTATAAAAATTATTTTAAAATAATAATATAGCGGGCTAAGTTGCAATGTGCGATAGCTAGTACTAGTTGGCATCATAATGAGTTTCAGGTAATATGTTGATCAATTGATTATTAAAGGAGAAAACTATTTGGAGAAATATAATACGACATCATAAATGAATAAAAATTTTAAAGATTCTGATAGCTTGAAAATTTGTAATTTCGTACTTAAGAATAAAATATTATTTAATCCTTCGTTCAAGAAAAATGGCTCTAATCCAGAAAATATCAAAACAATGTGAAATTTCTATTGAGCTAACAAGTTTTACGCAGTTAACTAAAAGTTAAAGAGCAATAATAGTGCTAATATAATAATAAAAAAATCATAATGGTGAAAAACACAACCATCACACGTGTTATGTATCCATGTGTTGTTTGCTTCATACGAGTGCGTTCTCACGCGTTTTATGTGTCCATGTGTTGTTTGCTTCATACGAGTACGTTGACCCCGGCATGCAGGTAAGCTGCTACGACCTGTTCTCCAGGTGAGGTGAAAGCCTTGGGTCGCTCCAGCGCCCGCTGCATGATGTGCCGTATTCATGTTCAGGGAGCGGAGCGCTCATCGTTATTAATTTATTCTCATGATTATTTGCTTGGGTATGGCTCCTGAATTCAATAGCGCTCACGGTAAGGCAACATTAACTATTACTACTTTACTCATATCTTGTGATCCAAGTGATACATGAATTCAAAAGATAAGATAACGCCAAGTAAATTCGCGACATCTTAATAGAAAACTTTCTGAGGCTAGCTCCATCATCGAAAAAAAATATATGGAATAAAAATGCAATTTGCAAGGAAAATTATCGTTATGCATGTGATATTTTGCAATGAATTTAATATGCAAACTTACCAGTGTATTTTTATTGCGGGACTATGCGCAAGAAGATCAAGGCTGTTGTATTGCAAGTATTAATAAAAATTTCTTATTCTTTTTCTTTCCAGCAAAATAAACTTCCCTATAGCATCTCTCCTCCAGAAAATATTCCTGAGAATAAGATCTTTTTTATCACATTATCATTTAACAAAAGACTATAATCGTGTGAAATTTTCTTACTATATAAAACAATATAAACAATTTGATGCACAATAAATGGAAAAACAACGTGTGCCGTGCTAGCAAGCCCAGATGCATCCAGCAATTTTCATACAGAAGTTCATTTAAACTTTTTCTTTTTATTGAATTCAGAGTCACCGCCTCGGGTAGTCATACAAAAATAAGACAGTACCTATGAAAGTAAATTTCAAATTTATTTAGGCTATTTTCATGTTTAAATGGAGGATTAAATTAAGAGCGATGATGTGCACGAAAATTTCACAAAAATGTTTACCTTGTTTTCCAAGAAACATATAGAATATTTATGCTTTTTCTTGCTTTTTTCAGTTCTTCAATTGGCGGCTTGCTATAAGTGCAAGGTTATAGGTCGCTTTAGAATTTGTACGGGAAAATATTTAAAGTATAATTGATAATAATCATATTTTACCAACTGGAAGAGGAAAATAACGTAAAAAAATTTAAAATGCAGAAAAAAATGTAGATATTTTTTTGTGATGAATTTTTACACAAAATGAAAAAAATACGCTTCTGTAGTGATAAATAAAACAATACGCGAGGAAATAATCTTAAACAAAATACCTATAACATGAACACGTACAGGTATAAAATTTATCCGAGTTTCGGACGATTATTAACTGGGTTATTAATAGTACTAATTGATTCATCAGGAATGAACCTCAAGCTGGACTAGAGGTGAAATTCGGTTTCAGATGTGTCATTGTTTTTGTAAAATTCGAGGTTGTCCGTGGTTTTACTTAGAGGGAAAAAGTAAATTTTTTGGTACTTTCAACCCAATGTTTTTATTTATGATTGCAACACATTCAATCTATAAATAAATTGTCCAAAGATGAAATTTCATTTTTTTAAATAAATGGTTTAAGATCTAAATATATGCAAAGAAAAATAAGTCGGACAAGTGTGATGCCAAAAAATAAAACTCAGTGGGTACTCACTGCAGTGAGTGACAGAGAGCGCATTTTCTCGTCGACAAACACTTGAGGTCGCGGACGGACAGACGGACAGACAGACAGACAGACGGACATGGCGAGCACAATAGTGCATTTTTTCCATAAATGAGAAAATGCGCTAAAAAGAGGTTATGTGAGTTATTCCAAGAAATAATCCCGGTCATTCAATTGGCAATCAAGTACAATAAAAATCTACGTTCTCCTTTGTTGAGAGGAAGCGTCTCACAATTAAAGAAGTATAATATTTCAATAAACAAGAGCAATCAGTAGAATCGACGAGGATTTAAGTGAACTTTCATAAAGCTTCTTATTTTCAGATTATTCGTTCCTTATTACATGCAACTGAGGCTAATGGCTTGATTTTTAGCTCGTACCCCATCACCATAGCTTCCCAATAAAAAGTAACTGGTGGAGCAATACTTGAAGCCTTCTTTATTCTGCACAAGAACGGTAAAAGCTTTTTCTTCTATTTTATTTCTTTGTATATGAATGGTAGTAACTAATATTTGAACGAAATTAAATCCTGCCCTCATTTTTTAAATAGTATATATTTTCATCATTCGACATTGTTAACAACTCTATTAAATTCTTTCAAAGCGTCATATGTGTATGCGATATGCTATTTTTACATCCTGATTATATGTATTGTCATGGTGATCACTTGTTCTGCAAGCGAATGTATGCAACAATGTACGTATATTAATCGATAAATATAATTTGTTGAAAGTATGCGCCAGGTTTCAATCAAGTTCATCCTTATTTTGATTCGCTATTGATAGCAATACATTTAAGGAATTCTACGTGTGAAGTTAAGAATTCTCTTTTGGTCTTTCACTGGTCGATTTTTTTTTTGTTTTTTGAGGTTTCCGTAAATATTAGGAAACATTGTGTGGTCATATCACCCTGAGGGATTTAAGAATCCGATGCCTCGCCGACCACAATCTGTCATAGCGCAACACACGCACGGCAACCTTGGTCTGAAATTGTTCTATGAAACCGAGCGAGTTTCCGAGTGAAAATAAAATGCTTTACTTCGAGCACGCAATCGTTCCATCCGAATTATGTAGTCAGACGTGGATAGCACGGCCGCTCCTTCTGTCAGATGAGTTCATCTAAAATTCTATCACAAAGCCAAATGTCACGTTTCAAAACTGCCAACAATGCCTGCCTGGAATTGAGACAGCCTTAAATGTGGCCTTACAGTCAGACTTCTAGGAGATATTAATTTCAGCAGACGACGGTATTGAGAAACGCTGAAATTCATATGCAGAAATATTTTGGTGGCAGATCTTGATATCCTTGTTATTAATTCATTAATTTTTCTTGCAAAGCTCAGGTTTAGAAATTCTCCATCGATTATGGGGGAATGATTCATACCTATAATATTGTTATTGGCTTTGTATTCAACTTTGGAAACATGATTTTTCGAATTGTTCATGATTAGATTTAATTTTTTCAATGCACAGTTGTACTGTAAAATGTCGTTCAAAACTAACGCATTTCAATGGTGCAGACGTACATGCCCAGACATTTGCAGATGTACACAGACACAACTTGTGTTCCTGTTGTACCTAGTTTATTTTCACGCCTATTCAATAATTTATATTTCGTTTAATTTGCAATGTATTCGTGCATTCGTTATTTGGAAGGGCAGAAGTGAAGGGATGACTGAAGCAGTGATCGCTCTTCATGGTGAAAGTCATTATGGTATCTAGCTGAGACATGAGCTGCAGTGAAGGTTGGCAGGTGTCGGCATGATAAATCATGGAGTGATATTTGAACCTGGGTCAACATATACTAAACAAACAATGATTCACGAGGATAAATATGTAAGCTATAGGTAGAGGCTTCAACTATAACCTCCATTCATATATAAATTCTTATAACTGGAGAAGAACTTAGCAAATGGAAACAATTTGCCAGGAATTATTACATTCATTTTGACCCACTAGAGCTGTATATGTGAATGGTTAATGTCTTTCACTTACACAAAAATTCATTTCTATGTATACAAAATTTTATTTCTATTCGCACAAAAATTGTATTTATATGTACACACATGTTTCAAACATTCGTATAAAATACTGCATTCACAGATTGAATAACTCCACCTCATCTTGGAAGATGAACAAAAATGCTTGAGTTAACAGGTTTGCAGTGCAGAATAAAATGCGGAATCAGTGTAAAAAACTTCACCAGAACCAAACCGGTATTTGTGACCTTATGTGGTGCAGTCGAGAACAGGTATGCAGGCACGAGAATCTTTTGCGATGCCTTAATCTTTTAGTGCACAAGTTAAACCTCGGTAAGTCTTTTTGTTCATTCCCTACGCAATGGACCAAGCCTACAACCGAACCCGCTATGAAAAGCGAACCGAACAAAAAAATGCTAGTGTGAAAAAAATGGCCGAATTTTAACCAAGATAAAAAGACTACGGATATATCGGAAGACTAAATACTTGGTAGGAATAAAATTTCTGAATCGGGTTGTTTTCCATTTAATTTGAATAAATTTAGCTGGTAGGTCACGGTAACTAGTTTCTCTGTTGACTCATAGAGACCATAAAAACAGGTTGAAATAGTTTATAATGTCATAGAATATAGAATATAAGGTTGAAATAGTTAATAATAATCAAGTTGATAGAAAAAAGCTGAATCTCTTTGCGGATACCAAATGGATTTTCTACTCGAAAATGCAAAAAAAATATATCCAAAGCGGGGCCAAAATTTTAAAGAAATACGCGTCTTGATCAGAGTATCTTTACGAAATTGACAGCTGAACTCATTTCATTGAGTCAGTAAGTGAACAAAATCGAATTCAGTCAGAAACATTGAATTGCCCGTTAAGTTTACATTGCATTGCTTGCCAAATGTTTAACTTATATTTAAATATAAACGCGCAAACTACTTTCATGGTGAGTAATAACGAGCTAGGCTGCAGATTGGTTGACAGGCATAAGTTAAAGAAAATATAAATCAGTACTCACTGCAGTGAGTGAAAGAGCGCGCATTTTCTCGTCGGCGAAAACGTGAAGTCACGGACAGACGGACAGGCAGACGGACATGGCGAGCACAATAGTGCATTTTTTCCATAAATGAGGAAATGCGCCAAAAACTAGACTAAAAACTGAAAACTAAACTAAAAACGAAACTAAAAACTAAACTAAAAACTAAACTGAAAACTCAACTAAAACTTTCGTTTCGTCGACGAAAACGTGAAGTCACGGACGGACGGACGGACATACGGGCAGACGGACAGACGGACAGACAGACAGACAGACAGACAGACAGACAGACAGACGGCAGACAGACAGACAGACAGACAGACAGGCAGACAGACAGACGGACACGGCGAGCACAATAGTGCATTTTTTCTATAAAGAGAAAATGTGCTAAAGAGAAAATGCGCTAAAAATAGCAACCAGAACTCCGGCATTCGGAAGCAGCTTCTTCATCTCTGAAGTTGCAACTATTTGATTGAAATTTCACGAAATGATACGGAATTTAAGATTAGTAAGTTTGCACAGTTATAATGTATATCGATCAATTATATTAATTTATTTTTTTTCTGTTTTCCTTTGCATTCAATTCGAAGAATTTGGACCACCTAATATTTTACAAACAAATAGCGACATCGAAATTATTTATCGAAGTATGGAAGTCGTTGTAGTATGTTATTGAGAATACGAACGCTGGCATTGTTAAGGAATAGGAAAAGAACATTGATTAAAATTTAATTTCGTGAGTACTGTAATTTAAGGAATTAAGCAACAGCAAACTATGCGCTAATTTTTTTGTGAAATGGCTATCAACTACTAAATAAACTGATGGCTCACTGGCACCGGTACAGCGACTTCGATCTCAATACCGACCAAAAGTTGTCTGAAAAACAGGTTGTAACTGACCTGAGAAGAGCCATGTTTATGCAGAGGAAAGCGACGTCGTAACACTTGAGCAGAACGAGGTAGACTGCAGACACCCGGCCTGGACGGTGCCTTATATAGCGGCCGGGCGGCGCAGCTCTGGAGCTGTGACGTCTGCTACTGAGAAGCAACATGCACTTACTAGTTTTTCATGCTCTTATGTTCTTTAATTATGTACAAAACTAAAACTAAAAACAAATCGTACACTTCATCAGGAAATGTTGTGAGCTTCTTTAAAGGGTTGGTTCAGTCCCAAGAACTGACTGCAAAAAAGAAGTGTTCCTTATCTATAATTTTGCATCGATTCTCTGGTAGCCAAATAAGTCAGGTAATTATCCGCCATACAAGGACCGCTAGTTTTTCTCATTGCTGTTTCCATGAATTTCGTGGGGCGTAATATCGTCAAACTATAGACCCTAGTGGTGCTTACATATTAAGTTAGTATACCTATTATTTGTGCACGATTGTTTTTTTTTTTTCGACAAAAAATCATTGAATTTTACGTCTATCACTTCTCTGTTATTATGATTGTAGTTTAATGTAACTACATTTGAACGAAAATGTCTCACGCAATTTCATGGGTTGATGAACGAATTAAACACATTAATCTGAAATGTTGACTCATGAAGTTGGAATAAAAATTTATTAAAGTATTTGCGATGTTTATCACCGAAAGGATTATCGAAAGCGAGTATTTTTATCAAAAAAATGCTAATTGAAGCCAAGTAAAAAGTTAATTTATGAATTTTCAAGAAAGCTTGTTGTATTAAAATGTTAGATTTGTTCATTCGATCGGCGCTGAAGCTTCAAACATAATCTAATTTTCATGTACAATGAGTTCGTCAAGGTGGAGCCCGTTGCTCTGAGAATCAATAATTATAATTAATATATTATAATAATTAATGAAATATTCAACCCGAACATAGGAGATGAGGTCACGTTTAACGGCTCGGGTTTTATTGCAGTTTAATCGAGTTTTTTTTCAGCAGTATTTTCCCTAACGGTTAATAAAAATAAAATCTCAAATTTTGACTGTTAACAGTTGCAGAATGGCAGCTGCAAGCGTTGCAAATTTCAATAGCCGATGCTGACTACAAATATTCAAATACATAAAATTATTTATTGAATAACGGAATTAGCAAATATCATTCCATATATTTTCCTTTCGTATTGGAATGCAAATGATGCTCTTCCTAATAAATGACAAAGAAACACATAGAAACATCGAGTCAATGGAGCCATTAAAGCAGAAAAAATGAATTTGCACGGAATGATTTTGCAGCAAATATTTGATTCATTTATCACAAAGTTGAAATAATGAAGAATTTTTTAAAATTTATCAACAATTTTAAAAGTTTGTACCTTCAAGAACTTTATAAAAAAATTGGTAACTTGGCGTGTTTTTTAACGTAACGTGAGTTATCTTAAGTAGCGTGTTAAGCAGAATAATACAATGCTGAATATTTAAAATTAAAAACAAATTAGGTTCTGTCGTAATGTCATAAAACCCATTGCGTTGCAGCCATATAATGTCACACATTTTTTCTGTGATAAAGAATGAAACTTAGAAATAGAACTAATTCATTGAAACCTTATTTCAAATTTTTCACATTTGAAAAGTCGAGGGATTGCCAAAATCAATATGCCAAAGTTATATATTATCAACATGTTGGTAAAAATGACGGCAGTACTCACTGGACTTGGTGGACGCGGAATGATTCTCAAGAATGAGAGTAAAGGGCTACGAGACTGAGGGTTGAGAGTCATGAGACTGAGGGTTGAGAGTCATGAGACTGAGGGTTGAGGGCCATGAGACTGAGGGTTGAGAGTATTGAGACTGAGGGTTGAGGGCCATGAGACTGAGGGTTGAGAGTAATGAGACTGAGGGTTGAGGGCCATGAGACTGAGGGTTGAGAGTCATGAGACTGAAGGTTGAGAGTCATGAGACTGAGGGTTGAGGGCAACGAGACTGAGAGTTGAAAGTCATGAGACTGAGGGTTGAGGGCCATGAGACTGAGGGTTGAGAGAAATGAGACTGAGGGTTGAGGGCCATGAGACTGAGTGTTGAGAGTCATGAGACTGAGGGTTGAGAGCCATGAGACTGAGGGTTGAGGGCCATGAGACTGAGGGTTGAGAGTAATGAGACTGAGGGTTGAGGACCATGAGACTGAGGGATGAAAGTCATGAGACTGAGGGTTGAGAGTCATAAGACTGAGGGTTGAGGGCAATGAGACTGAGAGTTGAGAGTCATGAGACTGAGGGTTGAGGGCCATGAGACTGAGGGTTGAGAGTAATGAGACTGAGGGTTGAGGGCCATGAGACTGAGGGTTGAGAGTAGTGAGACTGAGGTTTGAGAGTCATGAGACTGAGGGTTGAGAGTAATGAGACTGAGGATTGAGGGCCATGAGACTAAGGGTTGAGAGTAATGAGACTGAGGGTTGAGAGTCATGAGACTGAGAGTTGAGGGCCATGAGACGTAGGGTTGAGAGTCTTGAGACAGAAGGTTGAGGGTCACGAGACTGAGGGGTGAGGGCCACGAGACAAAATGGTCTGTTGTGGAGTTGTCTGCAGTGTTATGGTCTGTAGCGTAATGGTCTGTAGCGTAATGGTCTGTAGCGTAATGGTCTGTAGCGTAATGGTCTGTAGCGTAATGGTCTGTAGCGTAATGGTCTGTGTCAGTAGCGTAATGGTCTGTAGCGTAATGGTCTGTAGCGTAATGGTCTGTAGAGTAATGGTCTGTAGCGTAATGGTCTGCAGCGTAATGGTTTGCAGCGTAATGGTCTGTAGCGTAATGGTCTGTTGCGTAATGGTCTGCAGCGTAATGGTCTGGAGCGTAATGGTCTGGAGCGTTATGGCCTGTTGTGGAGTTGTCTGAAGCGTAATGGTCTGCAGTGCAATTGTCTGTGTTAAAGGTAAAGTTGAACAGAAAAGTTGGTGATTCCCGATGAAGGTGAGGCGTAGAAGGGATAACAGGTGATGTTGCACATGGTGGTGATGATCGACAGGTGATGATGATGGTGATGAGATGTTTACACAAGTGAAATCTCACCTGCAGCAGCAGCGGGGGATACCGAGTACAGCTGAGTAATCTTTTTAGATGTACAAAGTTACCCTGTTTATTCGCTTAGCAATTAGCGTGCCGGATGATATTATACCATCGCTTGTATCATCAAGCGAGAAGTGCTGGATGATATTATACCATCGCTTGTATCATCAAGCGAGAAGTGCAGGATGATATTATACCATCGCTTGTATCATGAAGCGAGAAGTGAGTTCACTTGTTCCGTGTAGCACTGATACGTCTTTTTTCCCAGCCAAACTGTTTAAAAATAACTCAGGTAAGGGCAAAAGTGCATCGATTTTCGGACAAAGTCTCATGAATTTCTCTGAGCGGCGGGCTCCTGCTTGTGAGCTCGCCACTTTATTTTGGCTGCAGCAGCGACTGGCGTCCTAATTTCTCTGCGTCAATAGCTGGTCAGGATGCGCAGATCCTTACGTACGATCCCTTATCCTGACTTTATTCCTTCGTGTACTGACGGTAATTTGCGTTACTTGGCTGCTAGGTAGGAAAAATTTGCGTTACCTGGCTGCTAGGTAGGAATAATTTGCGTTACCAAGCTGCTGGGTAGGAATATCATTCCCCAGTGTTAATGTACCCGTAGACAAAATGTTGATATATTGGTGTTGTGGATGCCCTGTTGTTCTCAAAAATGCATCAAAATAACCTCTGGGTTCATGGAAATTATGGTCTAATTAATCAGATTATGCACTGATCATTCAGTTGTGGCAGCGCCTTGTATGCAATATTTACTTCAAATTACACAGCTAAGAATCAAGTAAATATACATGGGTTGGTTTTGCTTATGCATTTATTGCCATCGTGGCCTTGAGCTTCAGTTCTGCTTGTGCTCAAAACGCACAATTTCTTCCCGCGAGTGGAGAGATTTTTGCTGTTTGTATGAAGACGCCAACCTCTGTGTATGAAGACGGCAACCTCTTTGTATGAAGACGGCAACCTCTTTGTATGAAGACGGCAACCTCTTTGTATGAAGACGGCAACCTCTTTGTATGAAGGACGGCAACCTCTGTGTATGAAGACGGCAACCTCTTTGTATGAAGACGATGACCTCTGTGTATGAAGACGATGACCTATGAAGACGGCAACCTCTGTGTATGAAGACGGCAACCTCTGTGTATGAAGACGGCAACCTCTGTGTATGAAGACGATGACCTCTTTGCATGAAGACGGTAACCTCTTCTCACGTAGTTAACCCAGCAACGTGGAACTGATGTCTTTGCACGTCTGGCTTTGATTTCTTGGCTTCTTTTTTGTAATATATTAGAGTTTACAGTAAAAAATCCGAATAACTCTGCAACTACAAAATAACTTGGTAGATACAAATAATTTGGCAGTAATTACATTAAATTCATTAAAATATTATAAAGAAATTTGCAGTAGGTATTATCATTGACAGTAGTATAATTATTGGCAATTATTAATTAATTGGCAGTCGATGACAATATTTAAAAACGAGTAACGTGTTTGAGTTTAATGACTCAGAACGAGTGTCGTAGGGGAAGAGACTGCATGAAGGGCCGAGTAAAAAGGCTTGGAATGTCGTCTGCTTGATTGTCCACTTCTTAATGCGCGATCTGAACCTGCTGTTCAATTTGAGAAGCTTGATCCGGCAACCGGGGCTTGGAGTCTCGTCAGGAACAACAGGCATGGCTTTCCTTGCTAGTTCAAGTGTTACTCTGACGGTTCTGTCTGGAACTGTGGTTCTCATACTAATGTATATATTACCCCATTGGTAATTACCTGTGGAGGAATGGAGAGAGCATGCAGGCTTTATGAAGTAATTATCATGGGGAGAATGATAGTCATACCTCTTGAAGTATAGTTACCCTAGTGGGAATGATAGTCATACCCTTTGAAGTAGTTACCATAGTGGGAATGATAGTCATACCCCTTGAAGTACATACCATAGTGGGAATGATAGTCATACCCCTTGAAGTAGTTACCATAGTGGGAATGATAGTCATACCCCTGGAAGTAATTTATTA